TCTCATACTAAAATTATCTCATACACGTTATTATATTAGCAAAATCACACTTATAAATAAGACATTTCTTTTTGTCTATAACTATTTAGATAATTGAAAGAATGTATTTTGTAATATAAAAATTTAGAAATATTACATATTTTAGTAGAACATTTTTTTCCTTTTTCTTAATTAGTCCATAATCCTTGTTTATAATATATTCTTTTTTTTCTTTTTTAATTTTTGTTAATATTGGAAATATTACATATTTTAGTAGAACAATTTTTTTTTTTTCTTAATTAGTCCATAATCCTTGTTTAGAATATATTCCTTATTTTCTTTTAAAATTATTTTGTTAATATTGACACATGTCACAATCTAAATTAACAATTACACATGTCATGATCTCGTGAATAAAAATTTTGCTTATGCGTAACGTTCTCATCGTAATACCCCGATATAATAAGATAATGATATTTTGAGTACTTAGTGTAAAGAAGCCTTATGATAGTGCTTAACACTAGCACTATCCCAAGACCGAAGTACCCCGAGATATTGAAAGAACAAAAGACCCTCTAAATATGATGAAGAAATATGAAAGAACTCTTAGAGAATACTTGAAACTCTCTTAGAGAATAGTTAGAGAATTTATGAATTGGAATACTATTTTTTGAACCTTATTTTTATTACACTTGTTCAACTTTTCTTGTTATGTTCTTGTTGAACAATTGATCTAACGCCTGCCAAATGGAACTAGCAGAATTGCACCTTGAGACATGCTCAAATACTCCCAAGGATATTGACCTCTTTAACGCAAACTCCGTCTTGGCATTCTTCCGTGTCTACTTCTTTGTCGCTTCCGCTGTCGCAGCAGCTCACCTTGGTAGTGTTGTACTACAGCCGGTGACACCATCTCATAAGTCCTCACCAACCAAATATGACTCTATACATGACTTCCATAATCAGTAGTATAAACATGTATAAAAGAAATTGTGTTTAAACTTAAATTTTATATGGTGAATACACTTGCTTTTGAAGCTACAGTTCAGCCTCGTGGACACGGCATATTTTTACGAGGAAACAATGATATGAAGTTTTAGTTTTAGTCGAAATAGGATTTTAATTTCTCGTTGTATCCTATGTTTAATAGGATTTCTTTGAATGATGTAGCTTCTACATACTAATCTTCTTATTTTAGTTATAAAATTTATAAAAGGAGAAATTATAAAAATGTCATCTTTTATGTGCACATTTGCAAAAATGCCACTTAGAGGTGTTCATTTGCAAAAATGCCAYTAATTATWGATTTTYAAACYMTATATCTTAAAATTCTAAACACTAAAAAATGTTTTGACCCCTAAACCCCTCCTAAACCCTCATAACTAAACCCTAATAAAAAATAATTAATCAAACATAAACAATATAAAGAAAAAAATAATTTTGAAAAAATAACATTTTTGAAAAGATTTCAAAAGTGTGGCATTTTTGTAAAGTGACACTTGAAAAGTGGTATTTTTTGAAATTTCTCTTTATAAAATTATAMAGCAGTAATAAAATATCACAAAATTGCTGTAATTTTTTTAATACTAAAAAATTATATTTAGTCCCAAAAACTATACTTGTGTTGAACTTAATCGAATTTTTTAAAAAATGTATATAAACCTAAATTTATTTGAAACTAATATATATATATATATATGATTAAAATTTGAATACCAATTGAACCATACTCTATCTTATTTATTTATATATATATATATTTAATTTTAAAAATATTATTCATGAAACAAAAATTTTAAAAAAAAAACTACAAAAACTAAACTGAAAAAACCTGAATACAACACTATATAGTATATATAATTTTTAACCATAAATGACAAATTTTCTAATTTATTTGATTTTCAAAAAAATATTAATCCGCAAAAAACGCGTGGAGCCATCTAGTTTATTTGAAACAGTCTTTCAAATGTTTTCAGAATTTATATTTTACAAATAAAAACACTAAAGTTTTAGTTAAAAACAATCCTACAAGTAAAATACAAAAATAATATACTAAAGAAATAAAGAATTTGCCGAGTTCTATTTTGAATAATAAACCAACTTTTCAAAATTATTTGAGGTAATTTCTTTTGAAGTTTAATTGGGGAATGCTTTGATTTTGATATTTGGGCAATTGCTACATCTATGTTGGTCTCTAGTAGTAGACATAAGATTCTTCTTATGTATTGAAGAGACAAGTGAGCGACTAAACAGCATACATGTCGAGACCCTTGAATTGCGATTACAGTCGAATGTCTCTGTCTCATTTCCAGGCACACGAGGCGACCAAATCTCGTTGCATCCAACCAAGATACAAGGCTCCGTCTCTTTCTTCCAGCCTGTATTTGTCCGAGTAGTTCCTGAGCAGACTTTTAATGGTGGAATTCACCAGGGGGCTCAACGGGTAAGGAGTGAAACCCGCCATCCCAAATCTTGACCTCCATTTTCCTAGGAGCTCATGGCGCTCCACACGATCAGCTCCTTCACACGCGATGATGTTCACGACGTCTCTTGCTAGACAATGCTGCTCCACATTAATCCTATGCTTGTGATTCCTTGGGAGGGTCACATCGATCGACTCGAACATTGCGGCGTAATAGTTCATCGTCTCCATGAATCTCGGGAAGAAGGCGGCTGTGTTTGTGTTTGATTCTTGCTCCACCAGAGTCACCACTCTGGGAGATAAGCTCTTCACCATTCTCAGTAACCGGTCCCTGCAAAACATATTGAGTCAAGGGAAAAACAAAAGAATCATCCTACGGTTAAACAAGTGCAGAGAAAAAGCTTCACCGGTGATTCTCAGTGCTCACGCTTTCGTCAGGCATATGATGAAGCACAAAGGCAAAGTTGACAGCTAGAGCTTCCCCTGGTCGGACACCGAGGTGTTTAGGCTTAACCTCGGACACTGAGACAGATACAGAATTGAACTCAAATGGAACGTTGAACTGCTTAGCAAGCTTGGCGAGTTTGTTTCCAACAATGCTTAGGCCGCCTCCACGAGCATACGCTGAAGTCATATCGTCAATACCCGTTATCCGTATCCTCGGAGGCCCGCCGGGCCTAGCTGCAAAAGCCTGGATAAGAGTGACCCATTGACTCCCTTGGCCGATCTGGAAGTCGATGATGTGAAGTCGGTTTTCTTCCTTGATGGCTTCAGCAATGGCACCATTTGCCGACATGTATCCGAACTTGAAGTAAGGGCAAACCTCATAGAGAATGTGCATGTAGGAGAGAAGCTCGGTGCTGGCGGGTTCAGGGCACCTGGTAAGGGCTCTGTATATGGAAGTACCCGATGAAGATAATTGAGCCACAAGGCCTTCCAGTAAGTAAGCTCCCAAGCGTTGGATAGGCTCACCCGAAACGGAGACCATCTGGCGTAGCTTCTCCATCATGGAATGTGCCATCATAAGATCGTTTTCAGACATGGCTTTAGCGCAGGAAACAAGATCAGCCCTTAGATCCCGCCTGGAGATGGCCTCGAGAGTTGATCTCCAGCTGTTGATCTCTTGACAGGAGGTGGAATCGAAGGAGTCCGTGCCATCAACGGCTAAGTCCAAAGAGTCTGGCCCCATCATGACTGACTCGATCTCCTTAATCTTGTGTTTGAAGTCGTTCAAATCGTCTGTCACACAGGAGCCACAGGTATCCTCATATGCAGACTTGTTACCGGGAGATGGCTCCAGCGTGCAATGCCGTTTACGGGAGTTGTGAACCGGTAAGTACCTAAGCTTCAAACCAGAGGAGGGCTCAATCACTTGATTGTACATCTTTCGAATCACACACTTTAATCGATGATCTGCACAACCACAAGTAATAAAAACATGAGACTTTCTTTGAGGCATCTGAAACAATCCCAAGTTTTGTAACTCAAATCCATCCGATCCAGCTAAGTATAATTCGATTGATGCAAGCCGAATCTACCTGCCACTCATAGAAAAACAGAGATTTTGAACCTCACAGAAGAGCAAATTCGTTTCAAAAACAAAAGACTTCCCGACAAGGGATCATATTCATGCGAGATAGAAAAAAAAAAAAAGAGCAGCAAAAGTTAGAAACTCGAGGATCAAAGACGGAGCAGATTTGTTCGAGTAAATACAAATTCCAATTTTGGTAGTACCCACCTGCGTCTCTGGGATGAAAAACCCCCCTCCCCTTAACTAGCGAATTCTATTCAAAGTTCCATGTGAATC